TATTTCCCCTAAGTTAAGTTTTGATATAAAGACTGTTTGGAGAGTAAACGAGAGAAATTCTTCAGGATGTGAACTCAGGACTTCATGAGGGACCACTGAGAATCTCCCTCCCAATGAAACCATGTGAGTCGTGTCTATTCCCGTGACTCCATGTGGATCCTGAGAGAGACAGTTTATGTTGGGGTCTGGTAGAGAAATAATTGAGGGTCCAGGCTAGCACTGGAACCTGACACTTCATGGTACCCTCCCTATGACTGACTCCGCCCCCTGGCATCAGATAGTGTGTACTGGGGAAACAAGGCCACATTCACTCTCAACGTGAGACGCGCCCCTTCACTGGGGACTACACAGAGGCATCTTGCCAGGGAAGGCAGAGACAGTACAGCCCACAAAGACACGTGTCACGTGTCCTTTGAGTTCATCCAAACAGCTTCCTGCCTTGGCACACCAACGAGCTTAGGGAGAGTTCACTGTTGGGCTAACTCTTGGCAACTCAGGAATACCCTCATGCTTAACAGCCACTCTGCATGGTGGCGGGTCCCTCGCCGCTATTCAAGCCCCAAAGCACCTCATGGTGGAGGAGACCCTTTCTGAGGGTTCTCCTTGAGTGAGGGATAAGGGGATTCCAAGAGGCATACATTGAGGTTGTTCCTGTGTTGGTTCTTCAGGCTCAGTGCTCCTTTGAAAGATGGTAGAAACCCACCATAGAAGGTTCATCATGATGGTGTCACCAGCAGCCTGGGAAATGCCGAGAGCTTTTAGATGAATTATCAGACCTGCTTTCTGACCGTCAGGATCTGACTCTGTTTCCGAGATGGTAGGGAACAGCTAAAGGGCAGCCCGCAGGAGAGTCAGGGACAGGGTACCTCTCGAGATGCTGGCAGGTTCCCTTCAAGATCCCTCTCCAGGGAAGAGTCCACCTGTTTCCACTGTCCAGCCAACGAGCGTCAACGAGGTGCTTACATCACTGCTCTAGCCAATGACAGGCACTGGGTGGAGATATTTGGCCCTGCCCACCTACTGTGAGTGCATGAATAGGAAGGTCTCTGAAAAAAAAATCTGCTTGTAGGTCTACTCTTGGGGTATACTAAGTTTGGATGTAAGGGGGTCCCTTTCCTATAATTTTTTTTCTGATAGGGTCAGGGGTTAGCCTTAGGAAGTGTGACATAAACCCATGTCCCTGCTCTGCTTCTCCAAATTATGCTTGGTGATAAACATAAGCACTAGTTAGGAGGCTGGAGCAGTTAAAAGCACTTTCTGTTCTTTGTAAGGGCCCAGATTCAGTTCCCAGCACCACATGGCCACTCACATCCATCCGAATCTCCAGTTTTCTGGGCTCCAATGCTCTCTTCTGTCCTCTCCCACACCAGGAATGCAAGTGGTGCACACATACACAAAGTACCCATAGATATTGGATATTGTAACCTGTGATTCCAATGTCCTAGTGCTAATACTCTGGAGATAAAGGCAAGTGGATCTCTATGAATTTGAGGCTATCCTGTTCTAGTGAGTTCCAAGTCAGTCAAAGCTTCACAATGAGACCCTATCTCAAAACAAAACAAAACAAAGAACCATCCATATACATAAAATAATTTTAAAAAGCATTAGCCACTGTCATTGCTAGAATCAGAGGGGAGAGACAGAGAGAGAGAGAGAGAGAGACAGAGAGAGACAGAGAGAGAGAGAGAGAGAGAGAGAGAGAAAACGCTAGTTAATGATAAGCCTACACTAATAGGCCAAACAATTCGTAATTGGTATAAGCCTCTGTGTGTTCATTTGGGACTGAATGACTATGGGGCTTGGGCTTGGTGGGACAGAAACTTCCATCTCCATCAATGTGCTTTAGAAAGTATGAAAACAATTATTCTGATTCATGTACTGCAAGAAGCAGTAGATTTGGAGAGTCTGTGTAAAATTTTTGACAATTTGTGGAAAAAATAAGGAAAATTATGATGCTGGTCAGTTGCTCCTACCATTTCTGGATAAATTAACAAAGAAAAAGAATGAGATCTATGCTAAAATTAAACAGCTTCTATTGTCTCAGCGTATGGTGAAGGATAACAATGAAATCAGTGATAAAATTGACTGGCTCTCGATATGTATAAACTAGTCTAAAGATTTCTGTTTTTTTTTTTATTGAAATTTTAAAAAATCTCTTATACATCCCAACCAGTTTCCCCTTCCTCTACTCCTCCCAGCTCCCCACACTCTCCCCTTTCCCCCCAGATCTAATCCTCTTCCTTTCCCATTCAGAAAGGATCAGGTCTCCAAAGGGCCAACAACCCTACATGACAAGACAAGATACCATAAGACAAGGTCCTCAATGAGTCTGAAGAGTCCCAAAGGTAGACAAAAGAGTCTGAGACACACCTGCTCCCAATGTTAGGAATCCCACAAGAACACCAAGCTAACATCCATAATATGTACAGAGAAGACCTGGTATAGACCCATGCAGGCCCTGTGCTTGTCACTTCAGTCTCTGTGAGTCCATTGGAATCCAGCAGAATTGATTCAGTGGACCATGTTCTCCTGGTGTCGTCCATCCCCTCTGACTCCTACAATCTTTCTTTCCCCTCCTCCACAGGTTTTCCTGAGCTCCCATGGGAGGGACCAAATGGAGAGCTCCAATTTAGACTCCATATGTCTAGCTCTGGGTCTCTGCACCAACTTTCATCTGCCGCTAGAGGAAGTCTCTCTGATGATAACTGAAAAAGGACAAGGCACCAACCTATGAGTACAGCAGAATATCAATAGGAATAATTTCATTGATTTTATTTATTTATTTTGCCTATCATGTTTGATTCTACCTTAAGTCTCTGGGCTATCCAGGGATTGTTGGGCATGGACTCCTTCTTGGGACATGAACCTCAAGCTAAACCAGACAATGGTTGACAAGTCTCACAAGTTCTGCTCCACCATTCCCACTTCTGCACATCTTGCAAGCAGATTGTAGGTAAGCGGTTTTGTGGCTGGGTTGATGTCTACATTTCTCTACACTAGAAACTAGACCGTAGGGGTGAAGGCTCCATGTAGGCACCAGTTCAACCTCTTTATGTTCAATGAGCTATGTGAATGCTGTCCTCAGCAATGCTACCCCCAACCGCACTGTCAGTTTTTGCAAGGCAATCTTCTGTCCTAGCACGGGCCTGGATTGTTTCAGAATCTCCACAGAACCCTGTTGGCCAAAAACCTTGATGAAAACAACCCCAGCTACTTACTAAAACCCTTGCCTAGCTACAAAAGATGTCCAGTTCAGATTCTTTTTTTTGTTTTTTACTTTATTTATTTATTTATTTATTTATTAAAGATTACTGTCTCATCCCCACCGCCGCCTCCCATTTCCCTCCCCCTCCCCCAGTCAAGTCCCCCTCCCTCGTCAGCCCAAAGAGTGGAACTCAGGACCGCGAGGGGTTCACCCACACACTGAGACAATGGGGATGTTCTATCGGGAACTCACCAAGGCCAGCTGGCCTGGGTCTGAAAAAGTCTGGGATAAAACCGGACTCGCTTAACATAGCGGACAATGAGGACTACTGAGAACCCAGATCAGATTCTGTATCCTCCATTACTAGGGGCCCTCACTAGGGCCTCTCATAGATTCTAGGAAGTTCCCACTACACTAGTGTTATAGAAAGGCCGCTTGGTTGTTCCAGCCTCTTGGCAGCTCAGACCTGCAATAACCACACAGAAACTGTATTAAATCATTTCTAGGCCTATTAGCTCTAGCTTATTGTTGGCTAGCTCTCTTACATATTTATTTAACCCGTCTCTATTAATCTGTGTATTGCTACGTGGCTGTGGCTTACTGGGTAAAGTTCAGTCCAGCATTTGTCTCTGGTGGGGCTACATGGCTTCTCTCTGACTCCACCTCCTTTCTCCCAGCATTCAGCTTAGTTTACCCCACATAACTAAGTTCTAACTTGCTATAGGTCCAAAGCAGTTTCTTTATTCATTAATGGCATTCACAGCATACAGAGAGAAATCCCACATCACACTAGGTTTCCACACTGCCCTCAACCCCCCTCCAATTCCAGCTGTTTCCCCACAATTTCTTCCTCTACATACCCCCAACCAGATCCCTCCTGATCCCATCCCAACCTGCAAAATCAATTCTATTTCCTGTCCCACAGAGATCCATATAAAGAAAAAGCATTTAATTGGGGCTTGCTTACAATTTCAGAGGTTCAGTCCATTATCATTGTGGCAGGGAGCATGGCAGCATGTACATACACATGGAAATTTAAGTTATTTTTAGACACAATTTAAGGGTTTTCTTCTTTTTTTAAGTAAATTTTATAAATCATAGTGTTGGGAACAGTTGGAGGTGGTGGATCCCCAGACCCTGAATTCCCAGTGAGTGACTTGTTTTTCCTGTGTTTGCAGATGCTCTTAGCAAAAACAACTTGTTTTCTTCTGTTCTGAGCAGCCTGCAGCTGTTCTGAGCACAAGACCCTGATGGCAGGCTGGCGGGGCTGCAGCTGAGAGATCCCAAGAGCTGGGGTGTGACCAGAGCTCTATATAAGCTTCCCCTGAGCACAATAAACTTGGCACTCTTGTATCAAGAGTGACCCATGTCTCCATGTCTTTCTCTGTGTGTCTCTGTCTTTGTGTTTTTAAGTTTCCCAGCCCTGGGCTCTATAGGCATAGTACCATATAGCATGTAAAGGACCATTTCAGGTTTTTACATCATAGAATATTTTATTTCCCTCAAATTGGCTTTATATTTTTCTAAGCATAAAGAAGATTATATACATGTAAATGGGGTTCTTGAATATTTGCCTTCAAGAAAGAAAAGCTCTACATTGTAGCAGACACCTATGGTACAAGTTATCTAGAAAGCTGAGATGTGATGCTCACTTCCGCTCTGGAGTTCAAGACTGGTTTGGGAAACATGGTTAGAATCTGTCTCAAAAACAAGACTAGACAGAAAAACTTACAACATAATACAGTGCTAATTTAACATTCCATAATAATATTTTTCTACCTTTTATGAGTGATAAAAATATGCTGAAGACAAAACTTAAATTTAAATAATCTTTACTGACAATAAAATTATTTGACAGTGTTAGAGAAATAAATTCACTATTACAATAAAAGAGTTGAAACCTTGCTACAGAGGAATGCTGCCAGGCACATGCCTTTTTATATTTTATTTGGACAGTACAATAATAAATATTTAAAAAGCTATTGAGAATTTCCAATCTTTTGCTGCTGCTTTTTATAAAGATTCAATAAACATTTTCAATTTTGAGATAAGTACTATTCATATGTACAAACATAAGAACTATACATATCTTAGAAAATTAAAAATTAAAAATCACTTCCCTGCTCCCATATCCACTCTTCCTTTATCCCAACCATCCCATATGGGAGCAGGGAAGTATAAATCTTAATTAAGGGAGTCATCTTAGGGTTGTCAAGAGACCTGACTCTATAGGGGCTCCCAGGTACCCAGGGCGATGTCCCCAGTTAGTTCCTGGGGCAGCTGAGGACAGAAGACCTGAAATGGCCCTATCCTATAGCCATACTGATGAATATCTTGCACATTACCATAGAACCTTCATCTGGCGATGGATGGAGATACAGACAGAGACCCACATTGGAGCACCGGACTGAGCTCCCAATGTCCCAAGGAGGAGCAGAAGGAGGGAAAATATGTGCAAAGAAGTCAGGACCACGAGGGGTGCACCCACCCACGGAGACAGTGGGGCTGATCTATTGTGAGCTCACCAAGGCCAGCTGGACTCCGACTGAAAAACCATGGGATAAAACCGGACTCTCTGAATATGGCGAACAATGAGGGCTGCTGAGAAGCCAAGGACAATGGCACTTGATTTTGATCCTACTGCACGTACTGGCTTTGTGGAAACCTAGCCTGTTTGGATGCTCACCTTCCTAGACCTGGATGGAGGTGGGAGGACCTTGGACTTCCCACAGGGCAGGGAACCCTGACTGATCTTTTGGACTGGAGAGGAAGGAGGAGAGGTGTGGGGGGAGGGGGAGGGAAATGGGAGGCGGGAATTTTTAATAAAAAAATAAATAATTAATTAATTAATAAAAACTGGCTAGTAACAAGCCAAAAAAAATTAAAAATCACAGGTATTTTGAAGGTTAAGGTGTGAGAATCACTTGAGCCCAGAAATGGGAGAATAGTCTGGGTCACATGGGGAGATCATGTCTCAAAATTAAAATAAAGCAATATGCTAATGCCAAAAGAAAAAAACTAATCTTTATTCACAAAAGTTAATTCACATTTTTGGAGAGAAAAATCTCACTACTTAACAAGAAGAGTGAAAACCTTCATATATAAGGATAGGTGTTAGTCATTTGCCTGTTTTCATTTAAATTTAAACCTGGATTTCCACCATAAAAACATGCTTTTTATCTAACATTAAAATTATATTGTTTTACACAGGTTCAAGTTGTCTTCAAAGAATCATGAAAATAGTATAGATTGAAGAGACTTCCGAATATTTGCAATATCTTGCTTCTGCTGTCTCACAGAAGGAGAAAATAAACAATGATTTTTAGTTATTATGCATATTTTAGTAAATAAAATACTTCTGCTAAATTATATAATTTACAGCTGAAAATATAACTTACAGTTTCCATCATATATTTCCTTTGATACTCAGCCATCTCTTCTTTAAGTTCAATGAATGAAGCAGTAAGTGTATTATTATCCTTATCCTTCATGTGCTTCAAGATATAAAACACAAAAGGTGAGTTCAGTTATAAACCATAATGTTTCATCTTAGATTCTAAATTGTAAAACTGATTTTCACAAGTGAGAATTTATTAATACTCAAATAATGATCATGATTAGTCCAATTTTCAAAAACAGTATAAATAATACATGAATAATAGTATATAATGGAGAAAAATATGTCAGACATGAATCAAATATTTTTAAAGAGGCAAAATTAGCATACTTTTCCCCCAACAATGACTTAGTGAACTGTTATGGTCCAGGTGAAGCGAGAACAAACAAACAAACAACAAGAAAACACTGTGCCTAGGTATTCTGAAGGTACAAGAAGGAGAATACAGATCTACAAGCAAGCCTGAACAACATGGTGAGAACCTGTCTCAAAAAAAAAAAATCAGAAAAAGAGATATCTGCATATAGACTGCAAGGTCCCATGAATAAGATAATTTTGAAATATTCTAGGATGTTTCTGAATGTCAGGTTATATTATTGGGACTAGTGGTAAATGTGACATGCATTTACTACAGGGAAGAAAATGATCCATACTATGGAGATCTTTTTTAATTTAAGTAAGTTAAAGATTACATTTTTAACCTGTATATAGTGCTGCACTTCCTTAATCCAAGCACTTGTACGGCCAAGGCAGATGGACCTCTGTGAGTTCAAGGCTTGCCTGGCTTACAAAGTGAGTCCCAGGCCTGATAAGTCTATATAGTGATACTTGTCTCAAAAATATCACGTATTAGCAATGCAGGGGTTTTTGCACTTAAAAAACTTCATATATATGCAGCATTTTTTAAAGACAAGGTCTCACTATATAGCTCAGTCAAGCCAAAAACTTGATATACTAGCCTTCTTAATAGTAGCATTATAGACATTTATCATCACATCCAGAGAGAAGAAATACCATTTAAACATTTGCTATCACTCAAAAGCTATTGTTCCACTTCCCAGTGTCCCAAAAAGTACTACATTAAGTGCTATGAATAAACTAAATAATAATAATAATAGTAATAACAATAATAGACTATTACTTCTTTTTTCTCCAGTGAGGAAAACATAAACAACACTACAAATAAGTTAAAATGCAAAGAGAAATGCAGCTTTCTGTACATATAGAGCACAGACTGGTAAATGATTCTAGTTTAGTTTGCAAATAAATAACAATATATAAGGAAGAATTAAACATACGGGAGAAGAAGATTACCAAAGCACGGAAGTACAGTCTGTGGGGTCAGACAAAGCAATTGTTTAGCGGTGGGAATAATGGGTACACGTAGTAAATGATGCTTTAAAAGACTCAGTCATGGGGAAATCTCAGATGTATTTGAAAAATCTATAAAAATGAGAAATCACTGATGGATTTGCAGGAAGAATGAGATGCTACAGAAAGACAACATGTCAGACCTATGAAGGATGAACTGAAGAACAGAGATCACTTAAGAGTTTCCATTGTACAAAGATGATAAGGGTTAATAGCACAAAGAATGAGTTAAGGTTAACAGCAGTAAGGAAGATTTGATGAGATAATGAGCCACTGCACAGAGAAAAGTACTGAATCTACAAATAGCTCAATTTGAGAACTTAAAAGATATGGAAGAGTTAAACATTACACTAATGTTCCTAATGGTAAATGGAAACATTTACTGATGATACTATTTAGATGAAAGCTTTATCAAACATTGATAACAATCAAAAAACTGTTCCTTGGGAACATTACAGCAAGTTGAAAAGTTCTCACCCTGAAAACATTCCCACAGGGCAGGGAACCCTGATTGCTCTTTGGGCTGACGAGGGAGGGGGACTTGATTGGGAGAGGGGGAGGGAAAGGGAAGGCGGCTGGGGGGAAGAGACAGAAATCTTTAAGAAATAAATGATGGAAAAAAAGTTTTAAGAATGTACCTTTTTAAATCCTTTTAAAACTATTTAATATTTAGACTCAAGTTTAGTAATATGTTTATGTAAAAATAGACAACTCTCAATCTAAAAATCTCCTCAATTGTCTAGTACTTTCTTGGCTATCTCTAATCATTATAAAGCAGCAAATACAGTCATTTTGGTCATTGCAACAGTTCTGGAACTGAATATGTCAGAAAATACTTCAACAATACTTTTGAAAACAAAAAAAGTCCATAATTTCAGTTTAATATTTCCTCTTCAAAAAAGACTGGGGATATAAATACAGACGATAATGTAAAAAAGATGCATAGACTTGATCTCAGATAAATGGAAAATGATGACCCAAGTGTTAATCAGCTATGGCTATGATGCATAAGTACACTGCTAGGTAAAATTACTAATTTGCCATTTCCTATCTTGAATAATCATCACAAAACAATTAGAATTCTACAGTCATACTTAAAACTTTTGTCCATAACAATTCAAACTGAAAAACAGTTAAAACTTTATATCAAAATGTTTCTTTAATCAACCTGCAAAAAAATTATACACATATTTTCTATGGTGTTATGTTTCTTGGTCAACATACCTGCACGTATTGTGTATACATCTGCATAATTAGTTTCATTTTCTGGCTTTGTTTAATTTTACACTGTCTTAGCATCCTTTTCTGTTGTTGTAAAATATTCTACAAACATAAAAGAAAGCTTATGTAATAATATTTTGGTAAAATATATTTGTTGTTCTTTTAGGCTTCAAATATTATAGGTAAACATAGTATCTTTAAGGTACATTCCTTAAGGCAAAAGAATAACTCCATTCTGAAGTCAAAAGGAATAATTTTTGTTTTTTTTTTTGTTTTTTTTTTCGATTAAATGAATACATTTAACATTTTACTTTGACAAAAAAATTACATCGAAGTTTAAGTAATTTTAAAAATAACTAATTTTCAATATAGTGATCTGGTAGTCATCAAATATGAATTATTTAACTTTTAGGACAGGGTCACATCACCCTCTCTTGTACATGCTGACTGGGACTTGTGCTTCCTCCTCAACCTCCTAAATATCTGATATTACTGGCACGCACCACCACGTGAGAACAAGCAAAAAATCTTCATATCCATGTAATAGCTTATTCTTTGAGATCTCAATATCTACAATATAGTTAATTTTAACTCTCTTGCTTGTACTTTTCTAAAACCCAAGTTTGGAAAATTCAGTTCTAGCTAGTCTAGCTGGTGGTAACGTTTTCAGCACCTGATTACCTTATTTCACTAAGTATACAGAAACCATATAAAGGAAACATCGAGTCTCTCTTTGCCAACCTATATCTACCTGTGCTTTCATTTCTCAGGTACAGCGTACTTACTCTTTCCCCAGTTTTGCTTCCCATGCCCATTCTTTCTCAAGAATTCAGCTTTTATCTCCTCTATCCTTTATTTTGAATTTGACTCTCTAGCCAAGCCAGTTGACGTCAGTCTGCCATAGCAGCTGTTTGAGAGGATGACACACAAGGATCACAAGGTCAAGGCATGCCTGAACTACAGGCCAGCCTGGGAAATTTAATAAAACCCTGTCGCAAAAGTAAAAGAAATAAAGGTCTGGGGATATAGCTTAGCGCTCAGAAGCATTTTCTTCCATGCATGAAACTCTAGGTTCTAATTTCAGGCCCCCATGATCACAAAAAAGGAAATAATTCATTTGCCCTACACATTATTCTTATTGCCTGGCAGTGGTGGCACATGCCTTTAATACTAGCACTCAGGAGGCAGAGGCAGGAGGATCTCTGTGAGTCTGAGGCCAGTCTGATCTACAGAAAGAGTTCCAGGACAACCGGGACTCCACAGAGAAACCCTGTCTCAAAAAACCAAAAAGACAAAAAGATTATTCCTATTAACACAAAAACACGTTATTTCACTTAGCTCAAAGTCCAGACCAAACAAAAAAGAAAACTCTACAAACCTCTATTTTATTTGTTCTCATACTAGCCAGTCCTTTCTTTTCTGTTCTGTCCCATACCCATTCTAATTCATTTTTGTTTTGTTTTTCAGACAGTCTTACTGTCTTGTTTGTACTACACTATGTAGACAAGGCTGCTCTCGAAGTTAGAGATCTACCTGCCTTGGCTTTACAAGCGTTAGAACTAAAGTTGTTCCCCATCACACCTGCTTCTAACTAGTTTTGTGCTCACTTTTCCAACCAAATCTTCTATTCAATACACCAATGACTTCCTGCTGTTGAATCTAGTGTATTTGTTCTATAAGCAGTATATGAGACAGTTAATGGTCTTTTCTTTACAAATACTTCCTTCAGTTGGGGTAGCTTACTTTCTACCAACTATGCCTCTAGTGGCCTATCATCATACTTCCCACTTACATTTTAATCATTCCCTTGGTGATTTCATCCTGGTTTACGGGTTAAAAACTGCATTTAAGCTAAGAATTTTCAACTTTGTGTCTTTAGTTCAGGGTGCTCTCCTGAATCCCAGATTCATATAGCAGTGGTCTATCGAGCATCTTCCTAGAAAAATTTCTTGCCTACCTCAAACTTAACATTTCCAAAACTGAGCTGATCTACCAACTCCAAAATTATCTGATATGATCAGTTCCCCCAGATCTTCAATTTGAATTTTTGATGATTATAACTAATGAAAGAAGAAATCTAGTAACTAATACAATATGTGAGCGGGACTTGAGTTGTATTATAGCTCTGGATTTTAAAAGTAAACCATTTTCTGGACTGGTGCTGTGGTCTGGCCATGCTGTGCTTTACTACTTTGTAAAAGGCCCTGGCTTCAATTTCAAGCCACATGAAAGAGAGAGGGGAGGAGTCAGGGATATGGGGGAGAATGGGAGAGAGAGGGGGGAAAACAGGAAAAGGAAAGTAGAGGAAGGGAAAGAGTGCAAGAGGGAGGAAAGAAATAAAGGAAAGAAAAGTTAAACCAAATCATATTCTTAGTACAATGTTTTGTTTGGGAATGGGCAAATGACTACCAATAACTCAGGGATGTTGTTCTACAGGAATTTTGTACCAAGGGTAGTGACAAAGTTTTTCCCATTTTCTAAAGTTGTAGCTAACACAGGATTAACTTAGTAACTTCAATAATGATCAACAAACAGACGCAACAACATCTAGAAAGACACTAACTAAAACACTTCCTGGTTCCCATTCAAGTGGATCTAAAACTACTTTTACCCATGGTTTACTTCACAGCAAGAAGTAACTACTTTTGTTCTTTAAAAAAAAGTTTCTTTTGTTTGAAATTACTAGAATCCCAACTACTATAAGAAACCCAGTGGATTTTGTAAGTATGATATTTGCCTATACTTCTGTGGTTTATAGTTCTGCAGGACAAGAACATGGGCAACAATTCATAGTGCACCTTGGTTTAGTTTCAAAGGTCTAATATAAGGCAAGCATCTATTTTCCTACTTGAAACCTTGCTATAAAAGATTAATTATAAAGCTAACTGTGATACCAACAATTAAGTGTTTTTGTTGATTTTCATAGTTCTGCTTCTCCAACTCCCACTGCTTAAACAGATCCATAAACTGCTGGTAATGTTCATTGTCAGCTTTCAGCCTGTAAAACAAAACAACAAAGGCTCATATTTTATACAAATATGAAAACAATCGAAACAAAATTGAATTGACATATTTTATACTATGAAAAAGGAAATCATAACAGGAAAAATATTCAGATGGGAACCCAAGAAATAAACTTAGATTTATATAGATTCTAGAAGTACTTCTTTTCCTTACTATATGTCTTCTCATGTGGTTAGCCCCTTGTTGTAACTGGAGCAGCGGGGCTGCGTCCCCAGCACCCTGGCCGCCAGCTAGCTTATGCCCCGAAATAACAACACACAAACTGTATTCTTTTAAACACTGCTTGGCCCATAATATCTAGCCTTTTCTCGGCTCTCACACCTGGGCTAGCCCATTTCTAATAATGTGTGTAAGCACCCCAAGGTGCGCTTACCGGGAAGATTCTAGCCTACGTCCATCCTGGGTCGGAGCTTCATCGCATGTGTCTCGCTCTGAGAGGAGCTGCGTGAAGTCTGTCTGAGGAGTCTTACCTAACTTCCTCTTCCTCCCAGCATTCTGTTCTGTTTACTCCTCCCACCTATGTTTTAACCTATCAGGGCCAAGGAGTTTCTTTATTGCTTAACCAATGAAATCAACAGATTGATATATGATACTCCCACATCAGCCCCTTGAAATCCAAGGAAATTCTTT